AAAGATATAGATAAAAATTTTGATAAGGGATATTCGTTTTGGTGTCACTCCTTTGATCAAATTTCTGTATGAGTGACACCATTCATACTAATCATTAACTTATTATAAAAAGAAATAACATATCATTTTACTTATTATTATTATAGTAATTATTATTATTTATAATTTTTTTTTGTTATTATTATTATTATTGTTATAAATTATTACTATTGCTTATTATTTTATAATTCTTATTGTTATTTTTATTTGCCTTATTATTGTAAAAATGATTTTAAAATGGAAAATAAATAGCTTTTTGTTATTGTTGTTGTTGTTGTTGCAGATTACTCTAGGATCTGTTGTAGTTTGATTATTAGTTGTTTCAAGATGACGGATGCGATTGTGTGTTTCTTGTTTGCTTTTGACGAGTGGATTATTTTTGGGTCATATCTGCTATTATTTACCAGTTCCATTTTGTAATCCAGAACGGCTGTTTTAACTAATTTTTTTACTGCTTTGCTTGCTTTTTTATGCTGTTTGCGTAGAGTTGGCTTGTTTGTTCGGGTGGCTGCGATAAATATGCCCCAGGGTTCGTTTTTTAATTTGATAGCATTTGCAACATCTTTGGTCTCCCATATTTTATATTTGTTAGTATAAGGGGTGGTTGTTGATGGCCGTATAATGAGGTTGCTTCGTTGAACTTGTTGATAAATATTTGACATGGAAATGTTCGGAAATGTTCAAGCCGTCGAAAGCCGAATGTTTCGATATGTGTAGAGATTAAGTTGTAGTCGGCTTTGCTCCAAATCAGACGCTTCTTGTAGAGGTTAGAGAAGTCAGTTATTTCGGGTTCTTTTGTTTTTAAATCGATGAGAGCTATACTTACTTCAATAAGACAGTGTGCCTAACCTTTGGCTGTGTGGCCGAGAGGACTAGCTTCTTTTATGTTCTTTATTCGGTCTGGTTTGTTCGCCAGGATGGAAGTCAAGAGTATTTTTTGGAGGTTCTTGGCAAGTACTTCAATACGTTGGAAAAGTTGTTAGCTGGGTCAAATGATTTTCTTCAAGATAGTCTTGAAATTTGCTATCTGTTGGCCAATCGTTTTGTACGTATGCAACAGTCACGATGCCACCTCCTACGTCGACATTTGAATACACAGTGTTACTGAAGTTGAAGTTGCCGTACGCAAGCAAGGTTGAGCAGCCAATTGAGTTGCATTTGTAAGTGGCAGTACTTATTTAGCTTATTATTTCATCGAGCATAAAGTCGTTCAGGTCGTAAGGACGGTAGAGACAGCCTATTAGAATTGGTTCGTCGTGAAATTTTAATTTGATCCAGACTTGCTCAATGGTGGTGCGGTTTAGTTGGTCAATTTTGGTAAAAGAACAATCGAGGCTTTCCTTTGTGTAAATGGCCACTCCTCCTCCCCTTCTAATTCTATTTTTTTTACCCAGCTATTTTTGTGTCGGAGTTGTCGGTGAACCAAGTTTCGGCAATCAAAATTATGTGTGGTTGAAGTAAAGTGTCTACTGAGGTAATTTTGGCTCTTAGTTCGTCAATTTTATGGCCATGAGTAAGGGTTATTGGCCCAGTAGATGAGTTGTTCTGGTTTCTTTTCTTTTGGTTGCGTTGGTTGTTTTAATTTTGGTTTTTGGCTTATCGGAAGAGATTTTTGGCTTTATATTGCTGTACGTTGTCTATTGTGGTTTGTTTGATGTTGAGTTCGTCAGCCATTTATTAATTGTTGAGTTGGGTACAGGAGTGTGTTGGGTATTGAAAGATGGTTTGCAGTTGATTGCTAGTTTGTTTATTGGTGTGGTTAGTTGTAGACGTTGGTTGATTAGTGGCTATCTGGTTTTGGTAATTTCTTTGATCTTGTTGCCTCGTATTACAAACAATGTTGTTGATTTTGCAGATCGAAATGCATTTTGTTTTTTGCATTCAGTGCGTAGTTGACATGCTAATTTCTTTTCGACTGCCGTTAGGTCAGGGTTGATAAAGAGTGTGTCATAATTGATATGACTGAGCGGGATAAGAAGGTTTCCATATTAATCTATTTTTGTTGTTAGTTGACTTTAGAGTTTCTAGTTTTTTTGTCATATGTTTTGTCATATAATTTTTACTTTTAAATCTTCAATAGAATATATATATATATATATATATCTTATATATATATATATATATATATATATATATATATATATATATATATATATATATATATATATATATATATATATATATATACATATATATATATATATATATATATATATATATATATATATATATATATATATATATATATATATATATATATAAATCTTCAATAGAATATATATATATATATATATATATATATATATATATATATATATATATATATATATATATATATATATATATATATATATATATATATATATATATATATATATCAAAATGATATAAATAATATAATGGCATGGTCATCTATTTGGCTCACAGAATTTAATTATGAAAAATGCAAAGTTATGCATATTGGGAAAAAAAATCCAAATGCTACATTTATAATGACTGATATTGATTGCAATTACAATTATACATTGTGTAACACAAAAGCTGAACGTCATTTGGGTATAATGGTTCAATCAGATTTAAAATAGCACTCACAAGTTGATTCAGCAACCAGCAAAGCAAACATAATGTTAGGTACCATAAAGAGAAGCTTTAAATATTTAGATGTAAACATGGTAAAAATGCTCTATATAACGTTCACACGTCCACATCTTGAGTTTGCGGTCCAGGCATGGTCTCCATTTTTAAAACAAGACATTGACAAGATTGAGAAAATCCAAAAAAGAGCAACCAAACTAGTACCTACAATTAGGAAATTATCATATGAGGCTAGGTTGAATATTATGCAATTAACGTCACTGGAAGAACGTAGACTAAGCGGAGATCTGATTCAACAATATAAAATTCAGCATGGCCACGATAAAATAAATTGGGTTGTAGGTATAACAGTTATACCTTATTATATATATATATATATATATATATATATATATATATATATATATATATATATATATATATATATATATATATATATATATATATATATATATATATATATATATATATATATATATATATATATATTCCATTGAAGATTTAAAAGTAAAAATTTTTGTAACAAACAAAATGTGACAAAAAAAATTTTTTTCTGCTACAAAAAGTGACAAAAATCAATTTAAGGTACTCCTCACTGAATTATTTTCTTTCAAGTTAAAAAATGGTGAAAGATCTTATCTATTTACCATCCTCTGGAAAAATATGTTTTTTTTATTTTTGTTTACAAGATTTAGGTTGGAACTTTAGAGCTGGATTTAATGACTGGTCAAATTGGCATCGTTTTATAAGGAGGTATGAACAAAGCGAACAGCACGCATGCAGTCAACTGCTTTTTTGTCACAATTAAAAGAAATTTTGATACTCAGTTGAAAAAAAAGAGTTTGATAGATGAAAAGAGTTACTAAATAGATTTTATGAGTTGTTGAATGTTTGAAGTTGTTAAATATTGTGAATATTTGAAGTTTTTGTACCGTTAAAATTAAGCTCTAAAAAGTAAATTAGAAAAAATAGGCGACTTCAGTTACAAAAACCTTTTCAGGGCTAGAAGTTGATGAGAAGAGAGACAGAATAAAGTGGTTCTAAGTGACAAGGTTAGATTTAAACACTTTTCCCTTGTCATTTAAAAGTTGAAAATGTGCTTGAAAAAAAGGCTTTCTACTTACTAGTTTGCAGAGAGGTTTTCTAAATAGTTTTCCGACCATGGCCGTTCATGTAATTGTTGCTGCTGCTTTTGTACAATTTATCCTCCAGACTACAATTACATAGTCACCTAATGCGTAAACACATGGTACATGTGAAGAAAAAAATTGTTCGAAACAATGAACACTGAACTAGAAGGCTTTAATCAATGGTTTATAGCAAATAAGTTATCATTAAATTGTGAAAAAATAAGTTTTGCTCTCTTCCATAAAATAAGACAATCAACTAATCTTCTATTAAAGTTGCCAAAACTGTCAATCAATAAAAAATAAAATAAATCGAGTAAATCATACAATGTTTTTAGGAATAATATTTGATGAGAACCTATCATGGAAAAAACATATTAGTTTTACTGAAGCAAAAATATCTTCTTCTATAAGAGTATTATATAAATCTAGGGCTTTTCTTGATTATAAATTTCGCAAAATGCTTTACTTCAGTCTTGCTCATTTTCATCTCTACTATGCTAATATTGTTTTGGTGTAACACACACAAAACTTAATTATTAAGATTACAGAGCCTACAAAAGCACGCATGTAAAGCAATTAACTATTTAAATAGATTAAAATCATTCCCCTGTAATGAAATACATGAATGTGTTAAATATATCAAAACTTAACTCGCTTTAAATATTAATATTTATGTATAAATATAAGAATAACTTGCTGCTAATAGTGTTTTCTGATTATTTTACATTAGCGTTTTCACAAAAATACAATCTTTCGGTCAAATACCAACCGTAAACTATTACTTGAGTAGAGTAAAATCGCAAGTGTCAAAACTCTCAATTATTAGCAAAGGCTTTAAGGAATCAATTGAAAAAAAAACAGTATAAAAAATTTGAATAGCACTTTCTTTTTTAAACGACAAATGAAATTGTATCTCCTTAATTTCTGACATATATGTAAGTATGTTTGTATATGTGTGTGTTTATTTGTATTTGTATACATGAGTATGTATGCATATATGAGTTTTTATTCTTCACGTAGCATTTTTCAGAAAAATTATTTTATTGCAAATTTATTAAAGTCATGTGGGCTTTAAATGTTATTGTAAAGTCATTTAACTTTTGAACATTAATGCAGCAGGTTTCTCTTGAACGCTTGTGGATAACATTCCGAAATGGTTTGTCAAGTACATCCGCAGCATATAGTTCATCATTAAGCTTTTTCATTTTATTTCGTAGCTCGAGTAAACGAGTTAACGAGTTCGATCTTTACGACAGAAAATTCTTTTGAATTCAGCAATATTATGGTGACTACATTTCTGAAGTACTTCTGATCGAGATTGTTCAATTATTCAAGAGACCTTAACTATGTTGGAGTTATGTATGGTGTTGTTTATCTTGCTAGATTTTATTCTGCTGACCTAATTTTGCACTGTCAACTCCACGTGCATTGAAAAACTTGTTTGCAGCTATTATATTGTCATATTCATCTGATTTGAGAAGCCCTACGATTATGACATTAGATGCCCGATTTTGTTGATTTAGCTTTAGCTGTGACAATGTTAATTTTTCGATGGCGTTGTTGGACTTCCTCAGCTGATTATCCCTTAAGTATGGTTGCAAATGATTCCAATTTGTTGAATAATAGTGCATTCTTTAGCTTTTTGTTAAGCTCGTGTTTTTTGAATAATCTTTCTAACTTGACATCTTCAGCCAGTCACTAATATTATTCATTTTTCTTAAACTCGCTTACTTTTGGTCCGTCAAAGCGGGTTATGATACTCTCTAGTTTGCTGAACTCGTCTTCGCGGGCCTTGGTATGTGGCCTCTATATGGTAATTAGCCGGAGGAGGATAAACCACCGTACCACAACCTTTAATGTCAACATAAGGTTTTTTTTAACTTATTTAAAGTTTTATCCTTATATAAGTGTACTATAATAATATTGTTTATATATTGTTATAATGTTCTGTATATATAGTAGGCTGGGGTTAAAATAAACAAAAGTGTGAGTTTTATCACAATAAACCTTATTTGCCAATCCATGTATGAAATCAGAAGAAGTTGTAAAAAAATAAAAATACTTACAGGTCCCTAATATTAATGAAAAAAAAATTCATCAAAAGTACGTCATGTTAGGTCTCAAATGAAGCGAAATTTTATAAAAGTAATAACAATTTTGTATTTAGATTGTTAGTTTACATTTTAATGTGTAAAAACTGTCGTTTTTTAACATTATTAAATAATCAATTTTTTTCATGGTTTTTTAAAAATAATTTTGTAGAGACGTTTTTATAAAATATTATTATTATTTTTGAAGTTTTTATAAATTTTTTGTTCTTTTGAGACCCAACATGGCATATTTTTAAAGATATTTTTTTCTATAATATTAGCGACCTATCTAATGTTTAAGGGTAAAAATGGAGTAGTTCCCCATGTCTCATGTTAATATTATTATTATTTTTTGTTTATTTAAAGGTAGATGCAAAAAAATATTTATTGATAGGCCAAACTTTGATTTTCAACCCAGCCTAATATATACATTATTATAGATAATGCATATATAATTGCTTTTGCAATTAGAAAATGTATATATAATTGTTTATACATGTTATCAATTATTACTTGTATAACTTTATGAAAAACCTTTTAGAATGTGAGTACTATTCAATATATGAATCTACTGATTACCTTTTTAAGAATAAAGATAGATTTTCAATTTTGCGTATTAGTATTCAAAGTATGAATAAAAATTTCGAGAACTTTATATGTTTATTAGAGGAACTTAACCATGACTTTAAAAAAATTTGGTTCAAAAAAACTTGGCTTAAAAGCAATAGAAAAATTTTAATTTTGAGTTAAAAAACATAAATCGAGGTATGTATTGAAATATACATCGAGATATGTACATCAAACGCGATGTTTGCGTAGGTGGTGGCGTAAGCATTTACATCCACAGTTTTATTGATTTTAATAAACGTAATAACCTCATTGTAAACAATATAAATTGTGAGTCGTTATGCGTTGAGATATTAAGCAAATTTACTAAAACTTGTCATCAATGCTATTTATAGACAGCCAGCTGGTTGTTTAAAAGCATTAAAAATTTATTTGCGCACATTCTTAAACGCAAAAAAATACATTGCGACAAAACTAACTAAAATATTTACATCAACATTACTTGATAATGTCTTAACTGAAAATTTTCATAATAGCCGTTATAAAACGGGATAATTAATTGGGAAAAATTAGGATTATTATAGATGGGGAAAAAAAATAGCTTACCTCAAAAACTTTTTATTGATGGAAAACTCATTTATCATTAAGAAGTTATTATTGAGAAACTGAACACTTTTTTCATTGTTGTTAGTCAAAACTTAGCAGCGAAAATTTTATTTAGTCAAAATAGATTTGATTCATATCTTACAACAACTGCAGAAATCAATTAAAAAAAAAAGTGAACTGCATAATGCTTTTAATAGTTAAAAAAAAAAAAAAAAGTGCAGTTATTGTTCAAATTTATGTTAATGTAAATAAATTTGTTTTTAATAATATCATTATTCCATATTTTTTATCTCTCACTTAAATCAGGTCACATTCCAGATAAATTAAAAATGACAAAAACAATACCTATTTACATATCAGGTGGTAAGACTAATATTTCAAATTACAGACCTATTTCAGTCTTGCTCTGCTTAACGTAGAACATACTTTATAAATGTTTAACTAAAAATAAGATTTTATACTGTAATCAATATGATTTTAAGAAAAACCATTCTAAAGACCATGCAATAATTAAATTGATTAAATGTAATTGAAGAACAATCTTTAAGCTTATTTTAGCGTTAAAAACGAAAAAGATTAGTTACAATAAAAAAAAAATCTTTTGGTTTTCCCCAAAAATCAAAGAGGTTTGTTGACAAAACGCCAGTCAACCAAGTTTATGGAACTCGAAATACATTTCAATAAAATACTTGCTGCCAAAAGTGTTTTCTGATTATTTTACATTAACGTTTCCACAAAAATACAATCTTTTGGTCAAATACCAACCATTAAACTATTACTTGAGCAGAGTAAAATCGCAAGTGTCAAAATTCTGACACTAACTTTTTTTATTATCACAATGATATTATTGTTTATGATAAGATATTTGTAGATGACACTAACTTATTTTATTATCACAATAATATTATTGTTTATTATAAGATATTTAACGAAGAGTTATACATAGGTTTAAAGTTAAAAGAGTTAAAAATAAGATTAACAAGTGGTTTAAAAGTAACCGACTTTCATTAAATGTAAATAAAACAAAGTTTATCATACTTAATAAACCTAGTAAAGCCGATTTTATTTTATTTTCTCTTAAACTGACCAATCTTTTAATCAATAACATAATAACTGAAAGGGAATTGACTATAAACTTTCTAGGAGTGCTTTTAGATGAAAAATTGTCACGGAAATTCCATATTAAATATATCGAAATCTTAAAAAGTATTTCCACGTTATATCGAACATAACCGTTTCTTAATAACGAGTCTTTAAAAAAATTATATTTATATTTCGTATCTTAATAATGAATCTTTATATTATTATAATAATGTTATATTATAGTATATTATAATAATATATATTATAATTTTCATCCATACACAGCTATCTTTCTTACTGTAACGTATCCTGGGGTAGCACTAATTACGCTAAAGTTAAAAAAATTTATAACAAACAAAAACATGTTTTCAGGATAATATTTAAGGCAAACAGGAATGCACACTGCGAACCTCTCTTATGTCAGCTCGGGCCTTTAAATATTTATAAAATTAAAATTCATCAATTAGTACTATTTATGTTTAAAGCAAAATGTGGGTTACTTCCAGTAACAAATTAATTATACTTCAATGAAATCTCTCATAAATATCCTATCAAGTTTTGGGAGAACATTTTTGCCATTCCCACAAGCCATCTTAAGTTAAGCTTGTACCAAATTCAATATCGAAAATATTTCTTAACCTTTTGTTTTAAAATTTTTTTTCTTCATATTTTCAATAAAAAACAAGACTTTATTTTAGACAACCCAGTAAGCACAGAACGTCTTTAAAACGTTTAAAAAACCTATAAAAACAGTTTTTAACGTTTTTTAAACGTTTTAAAAACGATCTGTGCTTACTGGGAAGACTTTATTTTGTACTTTGGAAAGTACAAAATAAAGTCTTCTTAAGGCTGAATCGAAACGGCATTGACTAAAAATGGACTTCGGTTTACTAGATTTTAAATATCTTTTTTAAAGACAACATAAAAGGTTTTGATTTAAATAAATGATTACATTTTCTTTAGCTATTACTATTTGTTTTCCTTTTTTGTTTTATGATTTTGTCGATATTTATTATTCATCCATAAATACTTATTTATATTGCATTGTTTTGAATAAAACTTAAAGCAATTTTTTGTTATTGATAACCTTCATTACTATTTTGCTTTTGTCTTATCTAATTTTTTAAAATTCTTTCGCTAGAAGATTGTTAGGAAAAATTTGTTTTATTGCTGGAGTTTTGTATGTACTTATACTGTTTTATTTATTACTTATTAGTAATGTAAATTAAAAACTTTAAAAATGTAACGGTGCTCGGTGATAAGACAAGATTGTCTTCTTCTTTCTCCGGCCAGAATTTTCTATTATTGTAATTTTTTTTGTAATTTTAACAAAATAATAATAATAATATAAAAGTAAACTATAATACATTATCTCTTATACGTATGTTGTCTCTTTTACGTACATTATCTTTTATTAATAGATTATCACTTTTATATACATCAAAAGAATTTGATGCATGTATAAACAGAGTTTATTTTTGGAAATGTGTTGATGAAAACAAACCTACATTAGGAATATTGTTTATCTTAGCAACACCATAGCAACCACAAACACGTGTAATGTTTATGTGTTGAATAAAATTTTGATTGTAAATTGCGCCTATTGTGCTTTTATTTGATTGTTGGAATAAGTTGAAGTATTAAAGATTTATTTATTAATAATTAATATTAAATTATTAAATTTTTCATAAAATATAAATAGGCAAGAAGATGAACTTCAACGTAACTAATAAACAAAATTTAAAAAAAGAAAAAAGAGAGCATGGAATGACGTAGTTTTAAAAAAAGTTGCAGTTCTTGGTAATTTTTGTATCAAATCTGTTCCAAGCAAATAAAAACTTTTGTCTGCATCAGATGAACTTTCTACAAATTCCTAACTACAAACAAAACACAGTTTTATTGTTTTGCATTTTTGTTTACTCAAAAGAGATATGCAGACACTTTTTTTTTTGGAATTATAAATATTTTCAACGTTATTGCTATTTTTTACTGTCTTGAACTCTTCTGATAAATCTCGATCAATTTATAAAAGAATTTCTTCAGTTTCATTTAAATCATCCCCATTCACGCCAAATGTAACCCAGTGGGCACGGACGTAAAAAAGACGTCTTTTAAACGTCTTATACACGTTTTGGACGTCTTTTGAACATTTTGGACGTCTTTTGAACGTTCAAATGACGTCTTTTTTCGGTCCGGTGCCCACTGGGAAGTGAGTTAAGTATTGACTGAACCACCATACAAGGAAATAAACTGGTTATAAAAGTCAAATACAGTTTTACTAATTCCACTTCGACTACCACTGTTTTTAAAAAACTTTTCTTAAATTCATTTAACTCTTTCATTAACTTTTCTTGAACTCTTTCATTCAACTTTTCTTTAACCTTTTCATTTTTAATATCGACAGCGACAGGCTCGAAATACAATTCTTTTTTTTTTATTATAAAATGCTGCCATAGCTACGTACTTAGCTACGTGAACTTTTCTATATAAACCAACTTTGTAGGCATCAAAGTAAATGTTTTATAAAGCATCCTGTTTTATAGCGGACTGCACGTTTTATGAAGTTATTTACCATATTATGATCCTATTTAAGGTTTTTTCTTTTTCTTTTTTCAATTTTAAATAAGAGTTCTAAGCAATATAGCTATAATTTTAATTGCAAATTATAAAAGATAATTTTGATAGCAAATTACAAAAGAAAAATAATTTAAACTTTAATTAAAGTTGTAAGCAACTTTTAAACTAAATTCAAAATAGTTCTTTTAAATTGTTCTTTAATATCTGCCATATTAAATGACATTTGCAAGAAGTATAGTTTTAACTACAAATAAAAAAAGCAATATATGTTTTAAAATTACAACTATTAAAGCACAGAGAAGTTGATGTATTGTTGTAATATTAACACGGAACCTTTAAAATTAAAGAAATGAGAGTCGTCTTGGTGTGTTCACTGTTATGCCAGCAGATAAATGTGTTGATATAGAAATAATACCAAAATAGTGCTACGGCTGTTATGTGGGTGAAAAAATAGAAAAAAAACTGAATATGATCATTAGAAATTTAAGCGCCAAAATTTAAGCGCCAAAATGACCATAATGGAAAATTAGGTGCAATGATTTCATTTGAGGGGAGTTGAAAATGTTAGTTGATAAATATATCAATAAATAACTGATGAATTAGAAAATATATTGACAGGGTCGCCGAGAGGGGGGGGGGGGCAGATATCCAAGGAGTGCCAAATAAAATGCAGGTACCTAAAAAAAAAAAAAATTTATAAATAAGGGCGCCAATCAGGATTGCTGTCCCACGCATGACAGTTTTCGCCAGCCCTGTATATTGATAAATAATCTCTATAACATAGTGGAAAAACTACATTAACTCAATGTATAATTTTTTCTGGTGTGTTGTTAGAAATCTGTATGCAATGAAAAAAAACTGATTTTGCAATAGTTTTTCATTTTACTCGAATTACTTTTAAAATGTATGCATGGTCTAACACAAAATTCAAATTCTCAATTCACTCATATGATCATATTCCTAATAACATTAAAACTAATTTGACAGAATAATTTGAAAGATAGACTTAACTTTTATCTTAACTTTTTTAAATTGTATTTAAAATGGATTTCAGATTATTTTTAAAAAACGGTCATATATTTAGATATAAATGGATTAATTTAAAATCTATTTATTAAATGGAGTAAGTTAACGTCGTCAACAGATCTATAAAACTTGAATCAAGATTCTGTGTCTTACTAAAGATTTGAGTAAGACATTGAACCATGATTCAAACATTTTAACAGAGCATTAAATTCTTTAATGTTGTCACAATGTAACAGAACACTCAAGAATTTAATGTTTTGTTACATTTTTCTTCCGCCATTATGGATTTTTGGAAATCTTTTTCAAAATTCTTTTTTGCTGAAATATTTTTTTAATGACGATATTTTGCATATTTTTCATTTTTTGAGTGTGATCTTCCACCACGGTGAAAACTTGTGTCATAGTTTTTTTTTTTTTTTTTTTTTTTTTTTTTTTTAATTTTTTAGGTGCCCCAAGAAGTTCTTGCGGTCTTATCACAGAGCACCCCGGAAGAGCTTTTAATAGGAAGTTCACGCCTCCTTCCCAACCGATGTCGCAAAATTTGCCCAGAGGTCGGGTTTGAACCACGGACCTTACGTGTCTGAGGCAAGTGCGCTACCACCGCGTCACGGCTGCTCTAAAAGTTAAATCTACAAAAACATAAAATTAACTTGGTCTGCAAAATAAAAATCTGAAAAAAACGTTGAAAATAATTTTTGATGTTGTTATTTAACCGGATAGAAAAAAAGCATAACACTCAAGTATAGAAAAATTAACCAAGTTTGAATTTTGAAGGAATAAACCATGAAAATAAACAATAAATAAAATGAAAATAAAGACAATAGAACAGGTAATGGTCACAGCTTCGGGGTATAACACTCTAAATGCTACTCCTAACATTATCGTGTACTGTTTATATCGAACAGTACACAATAATTTTGTACTTTTCATTATGAACAATACACGACAATGTTGTACTGTTCATTTTAAACGGTACACAATAATGTTGAACAAGAATGACAAAAACAGACTTAGAAAAACGCTTTTCGCTTTTATTTATTGCTTCTTAATGCAATTAATATAAAGTACATCGGTAATAATAATAAGTAGTAACTATAGTAACATGGTATTGCTTTAATACATAGTAAACAACGATCAGTTAAACAAAAAATAAAAGCAGGGGACCACTA